ATCACTCCAAAATTTTTATTTACTTGTCCTGGAAATGATGGTTGAGAATTAGTGAGTATTAAAAGGCTTCCAAGCTTACCCTCAGGTTTAGCCAGATTTGCAAATCTTAAATTGAGTCTTTCCCTTGTCCAAGTCAATACAGATTATCAGCATTGGGACCCTCACAGTGGAGTGTCTGCCCCCCTCTCCATCTTTCTACCAACTGCTTGCAGAAATAAAGACCTCTGATTTGCGATGCCACATGGAAGCCCAGAAAGCTCCCAGTTAGCTACACACCGATTTTCCCTGACTCGAGTAGATTGTACTTCTTTGGGAACAGTTGTATTTTAGAATATCAGCATTCTGCTGGCTCTAAGATCCTCAGTAGTCAAATCCTTTCAGGAAGTTTTCTGTTAGTCACCTGGCCCTCTGAGTGATTTATAGTTATGGTTTTTCAGAGTCCTTAAATATAGAAATTGCATTTCTCTTTCTCAGTCTCCTTGATGTTTGGATAATTTTAGAGATGCAAAGGTATCTTCACTCTGCAATCTCATAACAGAAAGTCTTTAAATTTTTTCTACTTAATGACTCTAGTTTTAAATATATTTTAAAAATTGAGTTTTTCCACATAAATATTAAATTTCAAAGAGACAAAGCCAGTTATAAACAAAATTTTATAAATGAGTTGAAATTCAATGTATTGCATGATAATTTGATGAATAGAAAAAATGTGCTCCATTTTAATTAATCACAGTTAATAAAGTATGTTGACCAAATTTATATGTGCAGTTAAGCACCTCATTATGTTTTAAATACAACTGCATGCAGAAAGAGATGATCACATCTCTAACAATTTATTTTTCCCATTTTGGAGAAAACAGCATCTTTGGTTTCCATGAGAACTTTAAAAATCTCCCAAAATACTACAGTTTGTGTATCTACATAGCTACAGAATATCAGGAAATACTTATCAATTCCAATCTAAACTTTAGTGACTATTTTAAAATATGTTGATGATAATACAAAGTCAATGTTTTATTATCTAACCATTAGTCATACAATTATATTTAATTCAATAATCATTTGAGAAAAAAGCAAACAAACCAAATTAAGCTTGCATAGAAAACGAAGTTATGAAGAACAGTCAATACTGCCAACAAAAACAGACAAATTCAGAGAAAAGAACAAGAAAACAATTTAATTCTCCAGTATGGCTTCATATCCAACACAAACATGACTGGTTACCAACAAATTTAAAAAGGACATTCTCGTTCAGTCCATTAGTAAATATTTACAGAGGGCTCCCTATGAGCTGGGCGTTGTGCTAGGCCCTGGGGACACAAAGATGAAAAGAAGTGCTTCCTGTTTTCAAGGAGCTTAAATCCTTGAAAAGGAAATGTGCAAATAAACAGAAGAGCCCACATTGCCTTAGTCCCTGGCCCCCAGGGCCAGTCCCTCCTGGAACTGGTCCACTCAAGCCAAAGCATTTTATAAGAAAACTTTCTTTTTTTAAAAAAATTATTTATCTTTAGATAGGAAGGGAAGGAGAGAGGGAGAAAATCAATGTATGGTTGCCTCTTGTGGGTCCCCTGCTGGGAACTGGCCTGCAACCCAGGCACGTGCCCTGACTGGGAATAGAACTGCAGTTGTTTAGGTCACAGGCCCATGCTCAATCCACTGAGCTACACCAGCCACGGCTGTAAAAAAACTTTCTTAAAGAGAGATTGTAGTCTGCATTAGTTGAAGCCATTATGAGTCACAGTGAAGAAAAAAAGATGAATCAACTTAAATATGATGCAGCATATTGAGTTTAGGCTACATTTAAAGTAGTCAGGGTACCATTGAATTTTAAAGGATTGGCTGTTTCCTGTGCAAAGGCAACCTAATACTAAATGCTGGCCACTCGCCGTATAAAAGATGGGTACATTAGATTATCCCCTAAAAGAAGGAGCTGTAGTCTCTGACAAGCCATGCATTTGAGTCGTGCGCCACCCATTAGGACTTCTGGAGCTTGTTCCACAGAGTTTACAAAATCTATATATCCCATGTCCCATACCACACCTGTGATTTCTTGCTCATCCATTAGTATAATCCATAAGAGGCCTCTGTACTTTTTAGACAAGGAAGGATGTAAAATTGCTTCTCAAGCCAGTAAGTTTAGAGCATACAACAAGTTGAAATGCTTCTGGTTTCTAAAGTTCTATGAAATGAGAAATTGTATTATTGGAAAAACATATCTAACTACAGTGCTGGAACTCCACTCTGAGGTTATATTAAAATATAAGAAAGAAAATTTAGGGATGTTATTTACAAAATTCACTTTTAAAAATACCCAAAACCCAAAAACTATTTGCATTTTCAGTCCAAGCTCAGTATTATATTCTGTCCAAGGGTTAGTCTTGTGGTTTTAATTCATATATCAAAAAGTACTCCTTAATCAGTGCAAGACCTTCACATATTCTTTCTCAAATTCCAGTACTCAGCCAAAGTCCATTAAGCCATCTTGCATAACACTATGCAGGATCTGCTGTAACTGAAGGCCAGGGTGGGAACAAGATTTACCAGCCACGTTTTTTGATAAGTGGAGGGTCTGTAGCAGTCTAGAGTTGGCAGGGGCTGGTAACTCTCTTCCCTGACTTTAAATGAAGTCCCCCAGGTCCAGCAGGCCCATTGAGATGTAAAGCCACAATAGAAATCCGGAAATTCATTTGGCTTCCAAAAGCACAACAACTGTACTGTTATACATTGAAAGGCTTTTCTTTTAGGCTATGGGTAAAAAGTGTCTAGAATTCCTTTTAACATACCTGGGTCTTGAAACTTTAAGAAAAGAATTGTTTTTATTCTCAAATGATTCCAATAATAAGTCTGTTAGGACTAAATGTTTGCACCTCCCTACCAAATCACATTTGAATCCCTAATACCCAATGTGATAGTATTAGGAGGTTGGGGCCTTTGAGAGGTGATTTTGTTTAGATGAGGTCATGAGGGTATCATTCTCATAATGAGACTAGTGCCTGTATAAGAATGATACAGGGTGCAGCCAGGAGGGCCTCAAATAGGGATTTGTAATGGGGTCCAGAACTCAGGGTGTCCAGGAAATAATTAAAAATATATGTATAGGATGTCCTCACCCCCACATGTCTTAGCTGGGGGATGGGACAAATGGAGCAAGGTAATTAAGAGCTGTTTTGCATAGCAACAGTTTTGCAGCTAACCACAGGCATGGTCATTTAACATACTATAACTTTTAACTGGTTTCATAGATATGTTAAATAGCTGTGGTCATGCTTTGAGCCAGGGAGATGGGAATGACTTCAACCCATGATGTAACTGGGAGGCAACTCCCTCTGGTCATAACGCCTGCATGAGAGCTTGGAGATGACTGGCTCCACACCATGGGGCCATGTCTGCCCAGACTTACTATGGCAGCCCAGAAAAGCTGGAAAAATATGGAAATGCTGGCAGGTGTAACTGATTCTGGGAGGAGTCGGAAATGGTACTGCAAAAGAAGATTGGTGCTGGGATTTAAACCCAGGGGCTGTAGCCATGCCAAGTTGGAGTTAGTACCATGTGGCTTTGGGGTGCTCCTTTTTTGCCACATGGCTTAGGAAGCAGGAGAGACCTTGCTGGGAAAAAAGGGGTGAAAGGACTCTTGCTAGTGGGTCATGAGAGGTGCCACATGGTATGGGATTAACTGGAGATCCCAGCTGCAACATAGCTGATGGTGCTGGGAACCGAGGGGCTACCTGAGCCATGGACTTCTACTTCTTTTCCTGAGATATGGTGCCCCAGACTGGCAAGAGGGAGAAAGAAGGACTGTGTGAATTTGTGGGTATTGTAAAGGACTTTACTATTTTAATGAAAACATTAAGTCATTACTCTAAGTCTATATAACTTTTTGAATAAATAATTCCTTTCCTTTTATCCAATCTCTGGCATTGAGAGATGTCATTCCCTGGTGGCAGGCAAGGCGAACCTCATTTGGGGGAACCCCAGGAGCAGAAAGGGGGTCCATTTGTTAATAGTATATTGTTTACCGCCCCTCCCCTGGGTCTGTTCTGTAACAGGAAGAGATCAGGGAGCTTTGTCTCTCTCTCTCTCCTCCCTCACTTCCACCTTCTTTATGTAAAAACAGAGAAAAAAGACAGCCATCTACAAGCAAGGAAGAGGAGGGTGTCTCACCAGAACTCAACCATACTGGCACACAGATCTCAGCTTTCCAGCCTCCAGATGGGAAAGTAATAAATTTATATTGTTTATACCACCCGGTCTATGGTATTTTGTCATGGCAGCCTTAGCTGATACAAATTATCGAAGGATGAAATAATTGTTTAGAGTTCCATGGTTGTTTTCTTCAGAAAAAATATGAGTAATTTGCATGGAATTATAACAAATTCAATGATATCAACTAAATGACAGCTACTATGTTCTTTCATTACTGTGTGAATGGCATACATTCCAGGACTTAATAGGATAAGCCACAAATAAATCTATCTATTTAAGCATATTATATTCCCATACAAGCATTTCTCTTACAGCCATTGTATAGTTGATACATATTCATTAAGTATTTGATTGCTGCCTTCTGTTCCAGGATTCTTTTTCAACTCTCATGCACTCATCAATGCCCAGTATTCCAGGCATTGAAGACTCACCTTGACTGCTTGGGTATAGTTAAAAATGCAAAAAGAAATCACACCATGTTTATCTTTGAGGCAACAACTCCTAAACCTTTCTCAAAAAACAAATATTTTTAAATGCTATAATTAAGAATCAAAATAATCTAAAAGGAGAGATATTTAACTCTCTACAGACATTGATGAGTATATGTAAGCACAGACCATATGTTATATATTATATGATAGAATATATTAAAATTTAGACATATAATTGAAACTTGCAGTTGTGTTTCTTAAATACTATAGCCAGTCTTAACTTCAAACATCACTTATACATCTATTCTCTCCACTTCACACACATTATAAAATAGAAACTTAAAATGTTTTACCAGTAAGACAGACCTATCTCATTAAAGCCACTGTAGCCCAGCTCTTGCCTGCTAAGTCCCAGATCTTCAAGGTCCATGCATTTAAATCCTGGTGGGCACTGGTAGCCTTCTTCTAGCTCTGGTGAACAGTGTGTATCTGGGATAGCTAAACTATTCCATGTCACATTTCTGTGAACAAAATGTAAAAGGGTTAGACAATTTCAATAATTGTATATGATGATTAAAATGAATACTATAATCACTCTACATTAATAACTGCTATATGTGGACACAGATTTAAGATTTGTGATTCATAAATGGTATTCATCACCATGATGACATAGTAAGCATTCTCAAATGATACCTGATTCATTTCAACAATGGGTCTTTTTAGGAATATTATTACCGTTATATGTTTTGTCTTTAAAGTTCAAGACTCAGATAAGCAAAGAAAAAAATTTCTTACATATTTTCAAGAATGTTAACTGATCTGGGGATTCCTCGTTATTCACAAAATGCTCATCCTACTGTGGGCGTACACTTTACTTCTCTACATCTAAGCAATATTGCATGACAGACATTTGCCATACGGCACAAATACTATGAGTCTCATAAATGATACTTGGCCTTCTGCTGTTTTGGCAGTTGTACAGTTTGAAAAGAAACCTGACAAATAAGATGAGATTGAAGGAACTAAAAGTATCACATTAGAAAGAGAGAGATTATGGGGTGAGTTAGTGATAGCTCCAAAAATATTAAGGTTTTTCAAGGTGGATGGTGATAATATCCCCTTTTCATCTTTCTGGAGGACAAGCAGGAGATTAAGTTGATGTAGAAGGATTTAGGTATGTAATGGCTTTCTTGGTAGTGAGCACAGGTAATTACTCGAATAGTGATTGTGGAATCTCTTTTCATGCTGACCTCAAAAATGGGTCTCAAAGAGCACCTCTCTGAAACAATTAATAGGGACTGTCTAGAGGCCAAAGTTTAGGCTAGGTGATTTCATAAGCCTTCTAGACCCATGATTTTATTTATTATAAATCACTTCCCACTACATAAATGTTTCTAGGCATTTCCCAAATAGGGTCCAACCTTAGGGTAGTCTCAGTTCCCTCACTTTATGGCCAAATTGAGGCAGACTTGATGGGTCACATTTCTGTTCTTTAATAGCCCCTAATATTCAATTGGCTGCTATAAAAGGCTTTCTCTAGAGTCTGACACATAACTCTGTGTGATCCTTTAGCTGCTTGAAGCTATCCACATACACATATTCAGTGTTATACATACACATACCCCACAATGCCTGGTGATACCTTGCCCAGGTCTTAGTAATAAATAAAGCTGTAAAGGCCTCACCCACAACTCAGATGACTCCTGAACTTATTCTTTCAGAATGCTATTAGCTGCAAGAGAGAAAATATGTCTATACATCTCAGGGAATAAATGTTTAACTGTTTCCTCTAGTCACATTTCTTTTTTCTTTTTTTTTTAAATTAATGTTCAAATACAGTTGTCTCCATTTTCCCACCAGCACTTTCCCTTGCCCTACCCAGGCCCACCTCTAGTCACATTTTAAGCTGCTCCTATACACTACACAAACAAACCCTAAGGGAACAGCTCTAATTATGGAAATTACAACTTCATTTTGTCAGAAAGATATGGCTTTAGGCAGACATATCGCTTGTTTCTCCTTATTTCACACTTTTATATGTAGGCCAAATGATCCATTTTTGCTGAAGTCTGATTTCATGTTTCTGATGTGGTACTACTCACACATCACACATATGAAAAAGATGATAAGGAGACTGGACTTCAGAGTTTCAGAGTAAGGCTTGTTGGACTTGATATAAAGCTCTGCCATATACTGGTTGTGTCACTTGATTAAGTTCTAAATGTTTCTAAGCTCAGTTTTTATACCAGTAAAATATGGATAGTAATCATAATTAGAAGGGAAGCTTATGTGAGGATTAAAAGAAATATACCAAGTAATTCACTCAGAATAGTACCTAGCATGTTTGCAAGTACTCAAAAATGCTTATTAAAAATAACTAGTATTCATTAGAACAATAAATTGTAGCATAAATCCTGTCATGTAAAAACACAACAATAAATACTTGTCAAAAGAATAGAAGAAATTTTGGCCTGTGATACCAAAATCATTTTGTTCACAGAATTATACAGCTGAAAGAAACTTCATGGATCACCCAATACTTTATTTATACTTGAGGAAGGTAAGTAAAGTTCAGAGAGGGAAAATTTTACTAGCCCACCAAAATTAATTTTTTTCATTGCTAATACTTTAAAAAGACAATAGCAACAATGTCTGAGAAAATACTGTCTACATGAAAGAGTTTCTTAAAAAAACCCCTCACCTTTCATCTATTAGGATAGGAAATTGGACTCTGGAGCTAGTTCACTGAGTGTGAATTTTAGTTTAGCCACTTTGTTACATTTGAGATGTTACCTCTCTGTGTTTCAGTTTCCCTTCAGTGAGAGGGTAGAAAAATGCCAACCTCATAAGGCTGTGATGGACAGTGTAATGGTTTACATCTGTAAAATGCTTAAAATGAGTACCTGGTAAGACAATAAATTATGGGCCATACCTATTGTTATTGATAGTTTGATATTAGTAAACTGCATAGATTAAAACCCTAGCCCTGGCATGTACTGCCTCAGTTTCCACAATTGCACCAACTTTGCAGGGGTGTTTTAATGATGAAATGAGCTAATATACAATGAGCTTATTCTTAACTCCCAGAACGTTGTTGGGAATAAGTTAACCACTTAATAATTGTCAACTACCATGATTATGATTTCATTAATTTATAAATAATAGAGCATTTTTACTCAAGTTTTTCCCTTCATGTTAACATCAATTCTCATTTTAAGCACAATCCTCTCCAACACAGATATTATGAAATCTTTGGGCTCCAGAGGCAGCAGATGTGAACCTTTATTTTTGCCAACATCAAGCTATTGGCAAATGCTTCTTAGAGACACATGTAGATGATTAATTGCTCTGGAACACATGTATTTAAAACCACATGCTAATAACTTTTTAAAAGTGGAAATGAATGCCAAGAGTTTCACAATATATATTATTTATCTTAGTTTCACTTTCTTAAAAAAATCTTCCAGATTTTATTTGTATTTGTTTATGTTAATTATTTCTGTGTTCATTTCCCCTTAGATATTCATGTTAGAACAAGCTCTCTGGAATTAGGGGGGTAAAATTATTGTTCCAACCAGCCAAGTCCTAATATAGACAATAATGCTCCCAGTCATATAAGTATCCATGCATGCTTAAGTGGTTTTCAAACCTGCTTTTATTACTCAGTCATATTTCTTGAAAAATACTCTCTACTTGTACTCTCCCTAATTCAATTTGTCAGCCCATTTTTGTGACCTCCAATCCACTGGAATTGCTCTTGTTCATTTCCATGTGCTATCTCCAATTAGAAAATTTTTAGTTTTTATCTTCTGTGATCTCTCGCCAGTGCTCTGCATAGTTGTTTTGGTAGTAGGCCCTAAAAATGTCCCCATTCTAATGTCCTGTGAAGAATTTATGTTACATGGCAAAAGAGTATTAAGGTTACAAATGTGAACAAGGCTAAAAATCTTGAGCTTAGGTGATTAATCTGGATTATGTAGGTGGGTCAAACCTGATCACAAGTCCTTAAAAATAGAAAACCTTTTCCAATTGTGGTTAGAAAGAGATGTGGCTATAGAAGAAAGGCTCAGAGGGATGCACTGAGATGCTGGCTTTGAAGATGCTTGTTTTGTCCAGATTTCTAAGATCATTCTCCTTTTCCATCTCCTCCTCCTATAATGGACCTTTTTAAATAATAGACATTTTATTTATTTTTAGAGAGGATAATAGAGGGAGAGAAACATCAATGTGTGGTTACCTGTTGTGTGACCCCCACTGGGGACCTGTCCTGCAACCCAGGCATGTGCCCTAGAATGGGAATTGAAACAGTGATGCTTTGGTTCACAGGCCAGCACTCAATCCACTGAACCACAGTAGCCAGGACCTTTAGTGAACCTTTAAATATTGAGTTGCTCTGACCTTGGTCCTTGGCCTTCCTCTATTTTTCATGATATTCTCTCCCTATGCAATCAGGGCCAGTTCCAAAGTTTCAGTTATTTCTTGTCCTAAATGACATTGTAGCATCTCAGAGCTATATGTCCAACTACCTATGCTATTTCTCCATCTGGCTACACTACAAGTAACAATTATTCTATCCCATACTGAACTCCGACTCTTTCACCAACATTCCCTCTCATATCAAGTTGTACCACCCTCCAAGGCTGAGCAAGTTTGAAATACTAGAATCACCCTGATACCTATTTCTCCATCAACCCTTATAATTAGTCACTATGTTCCCCTAACTATCCTTCAAAACATCTTTTGAGTTGATTCAACTCTCTCCATCTCCACCTCTCACATTTACCCTATCTAACCTCCTCTCTGGTCATCTTGCATCCAACTCAGCTTTTCTGATCCTTTTGTCCCAAAGCATCTAGAGAGACTTATCATCATCATTGTCTTACATTAATTAAGTCTGTTGATGACAAATCTTTAATATGACCTCTGAGACACTGAAGAATCTGGCTCCTTCTCTTACCCCATGGGTCCTGGCGTAAAACCATGGTGGCCTTCTCCCAGCTCTTGGTGTGTTTCTTCTACTTCAGGCCTTTGTCCTCTGCTTAGAAATCTGTCTTCCCATTTTCTCTTGGTTAACCTCATATTTTAGCCTGCAGGCCCAGCCTGAATGTTGTTTTCTCAGCCTGAATGTCACCCTAAGTCCATCAAATGAATTAGATCTTCCTGCTATAACTTTTCAAAGTACCCACACTTTTTATTTCTGGCACCTAGGATATGCAAAATTCATTTTGTGTGGTCACTTATTCACTGGATTTCTTCCAAACTTGACTGTACCCCAGAGTAAATTCCATTATCATAAAGTCCCTAACATATAGTCTGTGATGGTTAAATTTATCTATGAGCTAAACTAGACTGTGGTGCCCAGTTGTTTGGTCAAACACCACTCTAGAGAGTGCTGTGAAGGTAGTTTTTGGATGTGTTTAACATTTAAATCAGTAGTCTTTGAGTAAAGCAGATTACCCTTTATGATGTGGGTAGGCCTCATCCTATTACTTGAAAGCCTTGAAAAAAAAGACTGAAG